AGTATAGCCCCCAAGTTGAGGCAGAGAACCAGCTAAGGCTGCCTCATACTGGTCCGATCATCAAAGAGCAAGAGACCAGAAAGGCGAGGCTTGCCAAGCCATTTATCCCTCCACCCTTCAATTAATCCCACAATCAACCTACTTATCACATTTACAATGAACATTTTTAGTGCTATTTAAAGACTCAAGGTGTTTTGGTGGGAGTAGGGTACAGAATACTTGTACCTCTCCCATCAACTCGGGACATCCAAACAAATAAAAGATGATCACACAGAATGCAGAGTAAGCGCCGGGAGAGGAGTCAGGAAGTGCTGAGAGCACAGGGCAGCACAAAAGAAGGGCGGCCATCTCTGGAAACAGCACAAACAAATCTGTCTTGGATGACGTGCAGCCAGAGTGCTCCTTAGAAGCAGGGATGGTGAGACTTCCTCTCATGTACTTCAGGCATGTTGTCAGGGGAGGCCAGTCCCTGGAGAAGGACGGCATGCTTGCTTGGTAAAGCAGCAGGGCAGTGAAAAAGAGGAAGGTATCCCCCCTCCCCCCCAGTTGGATGGACACAGTGGCTGCGTGCGTGCGTGAGCTCAGATGTCACGACCGTGAGGCAGGGTTTCCTGCTGCGATACAAAGGGCTGCCGTGAGTAGAACTGACATGACAGCACCAGACAACCACCGCCAGGTTCCTGCCGAACAGAGCTCGGTAGAACTCTGCCATACTGGCGCAACAGAAACCAATGGAGAATCAGCCATGCACAGAATGAAGGTTTATGCCGCTGTGCCTCCCATTGCCCGTTTCAATGTCAAAAGACCAGATGGAGAACATGAAAAACCACAGGAGACTTTCTTTTATGAAGTTACTTTAGTCTCTTCCAGGTTCTATTTTAAGACCAAGGTGCTTAAAACAAGATCCACGGGTAAAGTGATGACTACAAAGTATGCTGCAAATGGCAAACTATTGTTATTTTTAAAGTGCCATGTTCCCACATATTTTTTCAGTCATATTTTAAACCCATGAGAATTTTAATAGAAATCGAGTCCATTTAGCACTGACTCATTTACACCTACTAGGCAACAGTATGTTACTTTATATAAATCACTGAATGCCCAAGAAATATTTTTTCCTTAAACAGGGATGCCCACTGGGAGCCAGATCTACTTAAGTAGGTAGATGGTGTAAAATATGAAAATAAAAATATTTTATAAATTATCAAGGGTTCATGAGGGTGGGCAGGTGGGGGAGTGAGGGGAAAAAAGAGGAGCTGATACCAAGGGCTCAAATAGAAAGAAAATGTTTTGGAAATAATGATGGCAACATATGTACAAATGTGCTTGATACAATTGATGTATGGATTGTTATGAGCTGTAAGAGCCCCCAATAAAATACTGTCACCAGATTTGCTGGGATGGGGGTGCCTAGAATGATTCCTTTAAACCCAACTTGGTTTTATTTGCGGTGCTGTTAGCATGCCAGCCTTAATTAGGTTCCCAGTCATCCAAGAATGTCACAAGGACCTGCCACATCTACTTAAAAACCTCTATAAAATGAAACTTTCTATCTTCTAATCTATTTTCCCCCCATTAACAATTTTATTTGTGGTTTTCTGGCCTACAGTTGGTGGGACTTCTGCAGGGTTATCCATCTTTGGAAAGTATGGCTACAAAGCTCCTCTGTCTGAGAGACACAACAAGGAAGGAGAAGCACCATTCGCAGGGGCACGGGCTTTGCTGACTGGGACTTCCTGCGATGTGCCTGTGTCCACAAGCATGTGGAAGAGGGAGATGAGAACCAACTGCAGGACAAGGAAGCCCCGGTTCACACAATCAGCCCCAAGAGGAATGGCAAGAGGCCATGTTTTCAGGAGCAAACTGGCTTCGACACCACTACTCAATACCTTGCAAAAGACATGAAGAAAAACAAACAAGCAAAAACAGAAAATAAATAAGCAACTCCAAATTCCCCCAAAGAGAATGAGACACCACTATTAGGTGAGAAGGCCAAAAAAACAGTCCTCGCAGACATCAAGCTTCTAAGCACTCAATTGCATGTGATTTTTAAGAAAGGTGAATCTGATTAATGGGAAGAGGTGAGTGGTTAACTATCCAGGCAATCTGCCAAGGCCTTCACCAGGCCCAAACGTAAGGCTTGTGCCCATTGAGTCTTTAAAAAGAAGCTACTTTGGGCAAGAGATTTCAGAATTGAACAGGAAGAATTTCTGAGTGCCACTCGGCTCTTGTACTGAAGGAGTTGCTTGGGTGTTTCTGAACTGGTACATCTAGCTTCCACATGAGCACTTAGTGAAAAACTGACCCCGCTATTCCCTACACCCCACGAGGCCCGGGAGGTTACTGGTGGCTTTACAACTTGGCCTCAGCTTCTGGCATTCGTTATGCAAAGAAACCACTACCAAGAGTTAGAGCCGCCTTGCCTTTCTCTTGGCAAAGCACTAGACCTCAACAAAACTCGTTTGGAAAGAAAGGTCTTCTGAGTGGGCAGTAGTTATAATTTTAATTAGCAGGGGTTTGAAATGCATTGTGGTAACAGAGCTTCTAAGATCACTGAAGATAAGGGTGCCACAGCAGAGTGTGCTGAGAAAAGTAGATGGTGCCCGGCTAGCAACTGGAATAGTATGTGGGGTCTTCAAGGCTTGTATTTAAACAAGCAGCCATCTGAGTGAGTCATCAACTAGCCCGCATGGAAGCAGCACATCAAAGATGACCACAATAAAATCCAAATGTGATGAAGGGTTTAAGTCAGGTGTGGAAAGCCTGGTACCCATCACTGTTGCCCAAGCTGATCCAAATGCCCCACCTGGATTCAACACCATTTAGACCAGAGCCTCCCAAATTTATTTGGCTTAGAGGCCCCGTCAGGAAAAACAAACAAACTCAGAGCCCTCTGGCAATCAGAACATGTTGTACACTAGCCCATAATGCAGGATAAGTCCTTCTCTGCAAAGCGGGAAAGACTTCTTTGCCCGACTGAAATTTTAGCTTTGAGCCAGAGGTGCGAGAAGTCTTCAGGAACATTTTTGAGCTCATTCAACATGAAATCCGATTACTCTATCAGTATCTGCTGGGTTGGAGGCCAGAAGCAATGTCCCTCAGCACAAACTGATTGGCGTTCCACTTTGACTTGAACTACGTGATCCAACAACATCTCTTGGCAAGGAGGAGGACAGGCCAGTGTACAGAACGGACACTGTTGATGTAACTGTCACAAAGGCACTTACTCCAATTAGGCACGCTACCATCCAGAACAAAAGTGTCAAAATCCTAAATGCACATCGTACAGACGACTCATTTTTTGAACAAAAGTTTGTCTGGGGTGACAAATCGACTGTACCCCTAAGAGGAGATGTATTTTATTAGAAAAGGGAGTGATTCAAGGTGCTGACAGAACTTTGTATGTGAATCTGTAACTCTGACCAATTCAGGAACTGCCATCCTACGGAGGCATCTGGGACACAAGACCTCGTTGTCATTAGTGTCCCTGTGACCAAGCAAGAGCTTTGAAAAGGAAGCCGAGACGAATCTTAGAAAACTTACACGAGTGCACGCAGGGGAAACAGAGGGACTTAAATCAGCGGTTCCCAAAGTGGATGATATACCCTCTGGGGGGCGCTTCAACAATCCAACCCAAACCAAACTCACTCCCATGGAGGTGATTCTTCCGGGTAGAACTGCCACTTTGGATTTCCAAAACTTACATCTTTACTGAGGGAGCAGCAAATGTAGTTACCTATACTTTATCCTGGATAACAGGCTACAGTACAAGCGCTTTTAATTACCAGGGGGGCGCAGAGTTTTGTTTTTGTTTTTTTCCTGAAAAAAGAGCAGCAGGCCAAATAAATTTAAGAGCCAATGGTTTTACTCAACCCACCAGTATTAGGAATTAGAAACGTAATCAACTATTCTGGAACCCTTAAGATATAGGGCTGCATCGAACATTACATGCCACTGTCACAGGAAGACAGCTAGTACCAGCATACAAGACGCTTGTGAGAACTGTCTTTAGTTTCTGAGCACTTACAATGTGGCCAACATTTGTGCATTGGAAAGGCATCCAAAGTTTTCAAGCAGCTTACTAATAATAATCATAGACAGTTGGACTGAAACATTTATGACATGTGCCATGAATCCACAGAAATTCCAGCCTTGACCAATGGCATCCTCAAACCCATCTGATGCCATCATTTGTCGCTGGTGAAATGATGGGACCGTCTCCAAGTGAATCTACAGGCAGAGGAAGAACTGGCAGAAATGGGCCCCATGATTTTGGAGAGGAGATCATGATTGAGGACACTCCAGCGGGTGTACACAGCGATGGTGTAGACAGAGCACACCAGCAATGGGGTCTTCAGCCTAGAACAAGCCTAAATGAGCTCAACCTACGCACGCACCAAACACGCCAAGAAAGCCAAATCCTGTCACCAGCCTCCTTCCCGTCTCACCAGAGCAACAGGGCCGGGACCACTGTAAACTCACGAGTGCTGGGAAACACGGGCCTGCTGCTTTTCATTGGAGGCATGCATTATAGACGGACAGAAACCGGAGGTCAGAAAAACCCACTGCCATCAGTCGTTTCTGACTCCGGGAACTCTACGGACAGGGTAGAACCGCTCCTGCAGAATGTCTGGGGCCATGCACCTTGACAGGAGCACACTGCCTCATCTTTCTTCCTTGGGGTGCCGACGAGGGTCAACTGCTGACCGTGCAGTCAGCAGCCCCAGGAGCGACCACTCACTACGCCCCCAGGGCTCCGATAGGTCGGAAGGACAGTATACACATCAGTGACACAACGCACACCGTGGCCTCAGCTTTGTAGGCCAAGCCTGCATCGGGCCCTTGGCCCCACGGGGAGTTCACGTGAGACCCAAAAGGTTGATTGCCAAGCAAATATGCAAACAAACAAAAGCAAAGAGCATAAAACCCGATCTTAAAAGGATTGCCATTTCTCTTCCCCTTGAGCCCCCAGTTTAGGACAAATGACAGTGGAGACTCACTCTGGGAAGCGTAGTGTGCCTCTGCGATTTTGTCTTCATGCCCATCGTACTCCCTGCTGGACAGCTGCCGATTGGCGGTCTCCAGCCGGTCTGCGGATAGATAGGAGAGGGTGAAAAGGAAACTTGTGGCCACTTAAATCATCATCTAGCTGGGGAATGAAATGGTGCCTGGAGCGGGTAGCAAGTTTGTGCCTGGAGCCGACAGGAAGACATGCCCAGGCAGGAGTACAGCCTGAAGGGTTCTGAGAGAGGAGCAATGCCCACAGGCCCGGTCAGTCTTCAGAAACCTCACGGGGTCTTCCTGTGAGCGCGTGCTGACGCACAGGCTCCCAGGCAACCAAGGACCTGTCTTGAGAGAAGCCCGTCGCTGTCGCAAGGCCAGCCACAGCACCCATCTGGAGTCTTGGCAAAGTGGTTTGTCTTCTTGGCCTCAACCATCAGCCCTGTATTTTAGCCACTGACCGCTACCCATATTTTCAGGACCAAAATAATAAATAAAAATAGCAATGAACTAACCACCCCAAAGGTTTATAATTACAGAAGAGGTAGGACCTAGACAGTGGGCGCTGCCTGTCCAATGATGACATAAGGTGCGAGGTGACTGGATACTGGCGAGGCTGATGGGAAGGGAAGTGAAATGTACTGGGTTAAATCATCCTGCACTTGGCAGCTGGCTGAGAGGCTGCAGCGAGCACCCTCTGGCTTTCAGGGGGCACAGCTGTGCTCCTACATGGGGTCATCGGTTTATTTTATTTATGTAAGTCATTTTACTGGGGGCTCTTACAGCTCTTATAATAATCCATACATCAATTGTTTCAAGCATTTCGTACCTATGTTGTCATCATCATTTTCTAAACATTTACTTTCTATTTGAGCCCTTGGTATCAGCTCCTTTTTCCCCCTCCCTCCCTCTCCCGCCCTCGTGATCCCTTGATAAATTATTATTTTCATATCTTATAACAGCCACTGTCTCCCTTTACCCACGTTTCTGTTGTTTGTGTCCTTGGGTGGGGTGTGTGTGTGGATTATGTAACGATCATTTCAATTGGTTCCTCCTTCCTTCCCTCCTCCCTCCACCTTCCCACTACCCTCCCGATATTGCTACTCCCATTTCAGTTCTTGATAGGTTTATCCGACCTGGATTCCATGTGTCATGAGCTCTTTTCTGTACCAGAGTCCACGCTCCAGTGTAGCCCGCAGTACAAGGCAGGACTGGGGTCATGATAGCAGGGGTGGGTGGTGGGTGAGGAGGCCTCAAAGAACCAGAGCAATATTGTGTGTCTCATCGGTGCTATACTTCGCCCCGATTGACTCATCCCTTTCTGTGACTCTTCTGTGAGGGGATGTCCTATTGTCTACTGATGGGTTTGGGGTCCTTTTGTTTCTTTTTGAAGGAGAACCCTATGTCCAGTTCTGTCCTCTGCGGCATTCCTACCAAGTGTTTCCCTGAATACCACCAAATGATTGCCCTGATGTGGAAGGGATCGTCAGGTGGCAGGCATCGAGTGGTCTTTTGATGTCCACATTTACCAGGTCATTTTTACGTGTTTTCCAAGCTCTCTTCCATGTACACTCACATATGCAGGTGTCACTTCTAAGACGATTCTGCAAGTTGTAAGACAGAAAAGAACCCCTCTGCTCTTTGAGGATCCCACCCAAGGCACCATCGGAGTCTGCAAGGTTAGCTAACACAGAACAGCATCTGCAGCAATGTAAGCTGGCCCCAAAACCAGGCTGCTGGCCCCCAGGGCAGTTCAGGGAGGGAACGGGGCAGACGGGCCTCACCTCGGAGGTCTCTGTTGAAATCGTGAAGCCTTCTAATCTCGCCTTCCAGTTTGTTCCTCATCGCCTTGTCCAGAGACTCTCGCTTGGTGCTAGATTTGACCAGACTCTCGTACGCTTCCGAAATTCTCTGAAGTTCTTTTTCAAACTGCAAGAAAGACCTCGGCATTAAAGTGGGACTTTTACTATTCATGCTGGATGCCTGAACAACACACATTCACTGATGTCCCCAGTGTCATGCAGCTTTCTTGTACCCCAACTTTCAGCCCTACCAAATTGCTCAATCTACTCCCCCACTTCTTTCTCTGCAAACCAACGCTGTCAAGTTGATTCCGACCCGCGGGTTATAGAGGAGCAGCGCTTCATTGCGTGCTTGCTGTAGAAGCACATCACCAGCTCTGTCCAAGGGCATCCTTGGGGTGGGTGCAAACCACCATCCTACAGGTTAGTAGTCGGTGCAAACTGTCCCAGCTCGGGCCTTAAGGCCACCGTACCCACTGTTGGTGAGTAAATTCTGACTCAAGATCTATCATACCCAAAACAGTTTAAAAACCTACTTATTGCCACTGAGTTGATTCGGACTCACATGGAGCCTATGAGACAGAGTAGAACTGCCCTTACGTTTCTGAAGGTGTAAATCACCACGGGAGCAGAGTCTCATCCTTGGAGACTTTGAACTGCTGACCTTGTGGCTTTCAGTTATCGATGAGTTATCCTCTAAGCCACCAAGTCTCCTCTAAGAGCTACCAGAGAATCCTGTAAATAACAAACTAACCATTTGGCCAAGTGGTCTCACGTTGCCTGGTGAACCCCCCTCTGTACAAACACTTGGTAGTGTGCATGTAATAAGGCTTAAACTACCCTATTGGGTATGGCAACATATGATTATCATAGGCGCTGGTGACCATAAGGAAACACTAGACAAAAACTCAGGAACCATAACCAGAATCCAAACCCCAGACTTTTCACAAGTCTGCCCGCTAATCCCTAGAAGGTGATTAACAATAAAAGAAACAAACCAAACTCACTGCCATCGATCGATGACAACTCAAAGCAGCCCTGTGGGGCAGAAGAGAAGTACACAAGAATCCACCTGAAGCGAGGCTTCATCACCTGCTGCTTTTAACCCTTTATCTACGAAATGATCCTGCGAAAGAACCGATGAGTGTGCCTAGCTGTAAACAAGCATTCCACAGGAAGCTTCTTTATAGACAAGAACTGGTAAATACACGATGAAATCTTTTCTCCCCCCTTCGTATCCCACTACATGGAGAAGGATGACCGGAAGCCTTTACCCCATGCCATATAAAACTCTGTCACAAGTAGCAGTAGCACTTCCAGCAGGGGTCTCCGTGTGTTTTCCGAAGTAGAGACCACAACCCACGTTGTTTGTACACGCCACCAATGCAGGAGACAGGGTGGAGCGTGTCTGGATCCACGGTGAGGTGGATCAGTCAGAGTTGACAGGGCTGAGGGCACTAGCGCCCCTCACAGGGCACCAAGAGATCTGTGCCACTCTTTCTGTCCCCTCACAGAAGAGCTGTTACCATGACACGGGCACTTTTGTTTTCTGAACCCCAAGTGGTCAGATCAGAAAGTCCTCCTGAGGTTCCCCCTGTGCATGCCACATAGCCTAACAGGTGCCTACTGCACACTGAACAGTGGACTGACACAGTGGGTGCAGCCATAGGCTTGAATATAGATAGCAAGGATGGTGAAGATGTTGCAGGACTGGGCAATGCACACAGGATGATTATGAGTCGGAGCTGATTCAATGGTACCTAACAACTATATGTGTCGCAAACTATTTTGGGTGCTGAGGGTTTAGAAATAAGCCCATTTCTGGCCTTTGGGAGCTCAGCATGGAGAGCTGGCCGATGCCAATACACATGCTCTCTACATGAGGCATGTGTTGGCACGGTGGCCTAGGGATAAAGTAAATTTGCAGACACAGGAACAGGTTTCTTTAAAAAGAAAAAAATGTTTGAGAAAGTGACATTTTAGAAAAATGAATCTTAAAGGATAGGTAGAGATTTTCCAGGCAAAAGAAAGGAAAGTTACAAAGCCAAAGAATATTCTAATCAGAAGCTGTAACATGAGCCAAGTCACAAAGCCATGAATGTATGTAGTCCAAGGGACTAGATCAAGGTGGAAGAGGCAGGAGCCGGGGCCAAAAGTAAGACCATCAGGCTGCGAGGCAAAGACTTCTGGGAAAGGCAATGCTTAGCAGTAGACTGTCGACATGATCATCTGTGTTTTGACAGGGTTACAACCACAAGATGGGATGAAAAACCAGTTTGGTCTGTAAACTTTCACCCAAATCACAATAATTTAAAAACAACCACTAACCTGGCATGGGTTGGGGCGGGATAATCAGAGAACAGGGAGGAGGGAGATGAAGTTAGATCCTAAAGTTAAGTAGCTCAATGACAGAGACATGAACATGAACTTCAAACTCACTGCCACGGAGTCAGTTCAACTCATACGACCCACTGGGGCAGAGTAGAACTGGCCCTGTGGGTTTCTGGGGCTGTAAATCTTTAGAGTAGCAAGCCTCATCTCCCATGCAGGGTCGGTGGCTTTGAACTGCCAGCCTTGCCACCAGGGCTCCTGAACATGACGTAGGACCCCTAAAAGGGCACGTCCGAAAGGCACTGGAGAGCGGAACCAACAGGTGCTGGTGTCTGGGTCTGGGAGGCTAGGGAGCGAGAAATCAAACACAATAGTGACATTCAAAGCGCAGAAGACTGGGTAGTGAGATCTAACCAAAACAAAAGCAACGATAAGGAAAACACAACGAAACCCAGTCTGGTGTTGCAGATGGCCAGCCTGAGGAGCCTGCCTGCTCAACATCTCGGCAGAGATTTCCAGAAAGTCAGCAGTCGGAGAGGAGCGTCTGAGAGGGGGATCACCAATGTTCAGACGAGAGATGGAGTCCTAGCGTGTAGACCACTTAGGGAGTTCAACAGAGGACTAGTGGGCCAAGGAGGGGCAGCTTCCGTTCTGGGGAGGGGAACCCGGGAGAGACACGGCATAAACAAGTGGGCTCACAGGAGCAGGAAGCTCGAACCGTAAAGCTGGCCAGAAAATGTGGTCACAGTCCCCAGGGGTTACACTGGAGCCAAGACTGATACAATCTGAGGAGAGGGCTGTGGGGTGGCCTGGAGTGCTGAGGTTTCTGCTTGGCTTCGGCCAACGGGGTGAACCCGAGGTGGTGAGGCTCCACTGGTATCACGCTTTCCTCTCAAAGGCCTCATTGGAGCTGAGCAAGGACAAGGAGAGGCAGACCTGATTCACGCCGAGAATTTGCTAGCTACATTTTCCAGACATGGAGTAGAACCCACTAGGGAGTAAGCCTCTTGTCTCTGGAAATAATCAAGCAGAAACGGAACGACCTCCTTTCAGGACCACGAGGCCAGGATTCCGGGCCTGGAGAGCTCTGAAGAACGTAATGTCGAACACTCCACGATTCTGAATTGCACACTTTCTGAGTAAGGCGTAAGCGTTCTTCTCTGCGCCCCTATGCCTCACACACAGTCGGTACCCATGATGTCCATGAGAAATGACAGGAGGGCTGGACAGCATGGCTTTGGGCCGGAAACCGCCAGGCTGGTTCAGACCCCACATGTGACTGCATGCAGATATGGGGCTTGCTCTCCCAGCTCCCACCCTGCCCGGCCCAGGTGTCAGGAAGCCCCCCACCAGGCCACCCATCAGTAAACCCGCTGCTGCTGAGATGACTGGCTCAGGACCACATGTCCCAGAAACAGAACTGCCAGCCCAGGCGAGAGCCCTGCACAGCTCCCACTGGCGCTACGGCCATAAAGCCAAGGGGTATAGAAGGATCCTGAGAACATCTCAACCGTCCCGAGCTGCCAAAGGGGGCTTTCCCGTGAGCTTCGCCATGGACACAGCTCTGGGGCTCACAGGAACAGACACAGGCCTGTGGCCTGAGGTACAAACTGCCCAATCACAGCCTGGGTGGCCATAGTGGCTTAGCTCCTTCCCTTCAGATGCCCAACCGTGCCCTGATGGCTTCAGAGGCCAACAGCGCCCACCCCACCCCCCAGCTCCTGATGGTGGAAACTGCCCATTTCCTGTGTGTGCTTGGGGGTGGGGGGTGGGGTGGGGGCGAGGGGAAGAGATGCAAGCTTGGAGAAGCAGAAGGAAATAATGGAAAGCAGCAGCTCTCTCTGGAGGAGCCCACCCACCACTCCCAAACTAACTGGGATAATCGCTACCTGCTGCCTCTTTGGAAACAGGGTCTTCGTAGCTGGGCTGGGCTTTGACAGTCTCTGAATTATTCGTGCCTTTCGGCTGTGTTCCTGGCACCGTATGCACAGGCTAAGCTCTGCAATTAAGAATTCATCTATTTTGGGCTCTGCCCTTACAATGAATCTCTGCACGAGCCCACATGCTTCCAATACTGCGACAATCTCAGATGAGACGACAGTGTTGGCACAGAATCATCCCATCCCCATGGAGTACAGGGAGTCCACAAAGCAGGGGCCAACTCCGTGCCAGGGGCACCAGCAGCTATTGCCATCGAAAAGCCAAGCAGTCAGCCCAGCTGATGGCCAGCCCCAGCTCTGCGGCTTCAGCCGCTGCCAAGAGACAGACAGCAACGAGGCCAAGGGCAGGAGAAGCGCTACAATGAGGAGGAACTGGGGAACGATGCAAGCTACAAAACGTCCCGCCAAATCTTGCACGCTGCTCTTCCATGTCTCGATCCTTGGTGTTGAGAGCAGCTAAAGACCTTGCAAAGGTTAGGGCAAGTGTATCTGCCAACATCTGAGTCTCTCAGGTGATAATTCTAGTTCGACACAGGACAGGCCAATGAAATGTACGATCAAGAAAACCATTGATCATAGTCATGGAGCTGAAGATATTTTGGGTCCCGGAAAGAAAATGCCTTCTGTTTTGTCCCTTTTTTTCTCTCAATAGTCATCAAAATATTTATTTTTTTTTGCCACAGATTTTAAGAAGCATCCCCTCTGCAGGGAAAAGAGAGATGTTAGGTCATTTTGTTTTGCAAACTAGAAACGTGCATCAAAATCAAGCAAGATCTGTGTGTGCAGTCTATCGATTAAAAACATACATTCACTAAGAAGTCAATCACGAATAACTGTGCAGACAACGTGCACATGAGAGTACCCAGCATGCAACTCTGCCCTCCGCTGGGTCTGCGTAACTCCTGCACACATCCGCCAGAGAGCTTCCCTGTTCCCCATTAAGGGCTGAGTTGCCCTCCCAGGTTTTCAGACCAAACTAAGCAAGAAGCTGCCACAGGGAGCTGTCGTCACAGGCAAGCGAGCTCCTGGGGACCGACTGACAGACCCAGGGCCAGGAGACAACACACTGCTTCTCCGTTTCTACGGGTGCAGAAGGCCGTGGGGCGGCACTCCTCAGGCAGCCCCTGTGTGTTTCTGGCTTCCATGGCTTTCAGGCCAGTGAAGGCAGCCGAGCTGAGCCAAGTCTGGCTTTGACACTCCAGGGAGGACTCCAGCGACTTGCAGTGAACTGTCCGCCGGCACACGCTGGGGCACATTCCATCTGTGAACATCTATCGGCACCATCACACCCACCGTGCCGTCAGCACCCAACAAAGAAGAGACCCCACTTCCATGCCTACATGATCAGCACTCAAAGGTGAATGCTTTGTGGGTACCAGGCAGGCACGTGAAGCGTCACAAGGACCCTAGTTAATGCCCAGGCTTCCGTAGTCAGGCAGGGCTTATCTCCCTTTACGAAAGCCTGCATGGCCTGGGACAGAGCTAGGCACCTGGGCAGTCCCTTGTAAGAACACCGACTACCACACACGCACTGGAAAGGACACAAGAAGGCCCTGCGGCTCTCCTGTCCTTTGACAGGCGGGGGCTTTTCCCGCCCCACTCCACCTGGACTTGACTCGTGCTGGGTGGTCCTGGATTCTCAGCACAAAGCCCTCAGAAGCAAGGCCAGCACACATCTCACATCCCCTTGGTGGCAATACGGGCTGAGTTGCCCTGCCTCTCCCCCATCTGACAAGTCACAAGCCCAAGGAGAGCAGCAAGGGCCCCACACTTGGACGCTCTCGTGGCAAGGCCACGCTGCCTGTGCAGAGATCAGCTAAGGAAACAGACAAGGCAACCATCAGGGTGCTGTCAGAGAGTCCCACATTTAAGGGGAAAACTCACCTGCCTTAATCGCCCTCTGTTACTCTTATTCCACAAAGGGTCCCACCACACTCATCCAGAGGCGCAAATCTTAGGTCAAGGTCAATACGCCTCCCCTGTATCTACTAAGGCCCCCTCACAGTGCACCTATAGGACTCTGCATATGCAGTGCTCTCTGCTGCCAGGCACCATGTGGTATTCATTTTTGTTGGCATAAAAGGGGCCTAGTTCAGCGGTTTAAACCAGTTAAGTGCTGAGCCCTGGTCGTGTAATGGGTTATAAGTTGGGTTGCGAACCGCACGGTTAATAGTTCAAACCACCAGCCAATCCTCAGGAGAGAGACAAGGCTTTCGACTCCTGTAAAGAGCTTTGGTCTCGGAAACTCACAGGGGCATCTCTACTCTGCCCTGTGGGGTCACTGTGAGTCAGAATTAACTCACTGGTAGTGAGTCTGGTTTTGAGTTTTTGAGTCAAGTGCTGGCGAGCAGGTCAATGAACCAAGACTCTATGAGCAGGTAGATTGTTCCTCCCAGAAAGCCCATACCTTGTGGAGCTTGTCAGCATTGTCACAGTAGCCCTGCAGTTCCTGGTGAAGCACCCGGTTCTCCTCCGTTAGTATCTCTACCATCTGCTGGGCTCGCTCCACAATCGCAAATGCATCCGGGCCTAGCTGCTGGCTGGGGGAGGCGGCAGGCGGCGGCTGGGGGGCTGCCAGCGTCATGGGCAGGGGAAGCGGTAAGGAGACGGAGTGCAGCGGGCCACTGATGGAGGAGGTCTGGGAGGACATTGGGCTGTGCTGCTGCACTGTTGATGGGAAAGGAAGCTGGCATGGGCGGCTGTAAGGGAAAGGAAGACCATTACTCGGATATCAAGTAAGATGGGGGAAGCCGGGAGGCCCCACTCTCAGAGGTCACCCACGCACTTTCGAATGCGAGGTTGAGTCCACTGGGTTCCATCATTCTTGCCACAGTATCTCCTGTGGCCTCAATACCGAGGACACAGCAATCTAGAGGAAAGAGAGGTAAGCCATCCAAATATAAACCAACAAACCGAGCACCCCAAAGAGCAGCACACTGCGAAGAATACAGTGATGTGATGGAGCACGGAGCGCCTGAGTGGCTCTCTGCTATGGAGAGGTCAGCCAGGAGACTCTGAGAAGCTGTTACGTGAGCTCAAGTCCGAACGACAAGCTGGGAGGAGCCAGTGGTTTCTGGAGGTGCGGGAGGAGGGAGTAGGAGGAGGGTGCTGTGAGTGAGGCACTTGGCTTCTAACCACAGCATCCACAGTTCAAACCCACCAGTAATTCCAAAGGAGAAAAGATGAGGCTGTCTGCTCCTATAAAGAGTTATCGTCTTGGAAGCCCTTTAGGAGGCTCACTGTGAGTTGGAATCAACTCGGTGGGCATGGTTTAGGGATGAGGGAGGCAGCGAGGTCTCCAGGAAAGAAATGATTCCTAGAGACAGTAGACAGAAATTCATGGTTTCACATAGAAGAGCTAGTACAAAGGTCCCAGGGCAGGTTTTAACACAGGCATGAGCAAGAGGAAAGAAAGCTGATATGGTGCAGAGCAAACAGGAGCAGTATAAGATAAGGCCAGAGATGGGCAAGGGCCTTTGTGGGATAAGCCCAGCCCGTTGCCAGAGTATAATCAGGGCCGAGTGGAGGATTTCTAAGCACAGGTGCAGTGTCTTCTGCCTTTGCTCTGAGTGGCATGTAAATGGAATGGGCAGTGGCAAGAATGGACGCAGGGAGGCCAGTGAGGAGCCCACCATGTCATTTCGTAGGGAGTTGGTGAAGGCTCACAGGGCTGTGCAATAGAGAAGTATGGGGTGGGCATGTGGTACGGGTTGGGTCTATCACTGATGAGAAGAGAGAAAGAGAAGGGAAAGGGTGGTGGTGGAATGCACTCCTCGATTTTGCCCTCTGTGCTGGTGGAAAGTGGCACCATGTAATGAAATAGTCCCATCGAGAGGGAGTGTTTTGGGGGGGTGTATTTTGTTTGACTGGGGTGAGGGGAGGGGGAAATCAGAAGTGTGATCTCAGCCGTGATAAAAACTCACAAGGGGCTCAGCAATAGCTCAAATGCCTGGTACCACGTCCTGTACTTGAAAATCATGACTTTCCAGCCCCTGCTGCCTCTACTCATGAGCAACTCCTTCCTCACTATTCTGTTAACCTGTGTCATTAGACATGGCGTTTTCTTTCAACCTAAAACGAGGTTCACCTGCTTTTTTTAGTTTTCAGAAATAGGGCTCGTTCTATTTCCAGTAGACAACGCTGCTCTAGATCATACAGCGTGCACACAAAGGGCATCAGTTGGCTTGGACTGGATGAGCATCGGATATCAGAACAACTGTGGTCCTCAGTTCCCCATGCACAGATGTTGATCAGCAATCTATATTCCATGTAATCAACTTGGTGATTATCTACAATTAATCTAGCAGGCAAATATCTGATCGATATGGCCTGTGATTGTGTGTCCCCTCCCAGCCCCCCACTCCTCCAAAAATGTGTTGTGAATCCCAAGCTCTATGCCTGTGGTTACAGTCCCATTTGAGCACAGGCTGTCTTGCCTTGGTTATGTTAATTTAGTGCAAATCTTGAGTCAATCTTTTAGAGACTATACAAGGTGCAGATTAAGATAGTATAGACCCGGGGAACTCACACTGACAGAGTGAGACAGCCTTCCCTAGAGCACGCAGCCCTGAATTTGTAGGTTTAGTCTCATAAACTAGCCTCCAAAAATAAGTTTCCTTTTGCCAAAGCCACCCACTTCTGTATCTGTCATATCAGCACAGGATAACAAGAGAAAACACACTCACTGCCACTGAGTTAATGCCAACTCACAGCAACCTTACAGAGCAGGCTAGAACAGCCCCTATGGATTTCTAAAACTAACTGTAGACAGGAGTAGAAAGCCTCCTCTTTCTCCCAAGGAGAGGCTGGGGGTATTGAACTGCTGACCTTACAGTTAGCATGCCAATGTGTAACCACTTTGCCACAAACCCTCCTCAATATGACAAGAAAAGTGTGGGAGGTGGGACCAATATTTAACTAGACAAAAAATATTAAGAAATCACAAGAGAAAATGCAAGCGGCTGGTATTTTTCAGTGTGATTTTAAGAGAGAACTAATCTAGAATAGAGTCCCCTCCCCCACTATCAATATTAATATTTGAACAAAATTTTATGGAGCACCTGAGCAGTTTTTTTTGTTTGTTTCAAATTCTCAAGATAAAATATATATTAGAACTTCAAACGTATAAAAAGATGGCATAGAAAAAATACGGGAAGGAATAGGGCAAAAGGTCAGTCCTGGTTTCCGGGTGGTAGAATGATGCTGGTTTCTGTTTGTTTGTTTTTTGGCTTGGGGGTTTAATGTTTCCACTTTATTCTACACATTTCTACAGTGCACATGTATGGCCACTCTAAAAACATCCCATTATCGAAGTAACACATATCGGCAATAGAAAAACTGGAAAACAGGAGCAGTGATAAAACCAGCATGCGGCATTTCAGGAAGAAATAGAAGTCTTGAAAAAGGAAACGACATCAGAAGTGGCTCC